CTAGAGCGTGATAATTACAAAATTTCTTTATTGTCATACCTATATTAGGCATGAATCGTGATAATACGAATTTTGTATTATACAACCTAATATTAAATATTATTGAGAATAATTACATCTCTCACATATTTGGTTCATGTTTTATATAAATACACATGCATACCACTTAAAAACAATATGCTACACAATTAACGCGCAATTTCTGTTATTTGTTTTAGTATACAAAAGAAAGTTTACAGCTATTTTCAATAGAATAACGTTTAATCATGTTATGTTAATTGATAGGATGTGTCGTGTAACAGTCGTTGGTTAATTAACGAAAGCAATGTTGACAATAAGTGATTTAACGGCAATTCGGTTGTACATAAAAAATAAATACATACCATGGATACAAATTAGTCAGAATCACATCAACTTCTTTTCAAATTGTAGCCGTCATTAAAAAGACTTGTATAAAAGGTGTACATAAATATACAATCACTTCTAGAAATTGTTACATCTGCAGAACTTGTCGAATAGCATATTACAATGTTCTAACTATCTCATGACAATAAATAAGAGACTTAAATTTTCTAATGTGTAGTATACAAATTTATGTAGCAGAAAAACTTCAGGGACAAAAACAGTCTCCTCATCCTTGCTCTTTTTCCTTGAGCACAGATGTGTCATGTGAATTATGTATAAAACGGGCATAGAAAAAGTGGCTCTGTTTGTCGAGCACTTTAGGTATAGTGCATTGGTACCTTATACTCTGGACATAGTAGATCAAAATCATTTTTATTAGTCATTGTTTTGGTACATTTAGGAACGCTTCTATGATGGGTATAAAACGGATGTTTTAGTGATCACAACGATTTTTTAGTTTTAATTGTAACGTTGTTTAATTAATAAAACAGTTATAAAGTTTTATTGATTTATTTCGTTACGAATTATGCGTAGTAAATATAACAAAGGTTTGATTTAAGTCCTGGTAGTAACGGATATTTAAATTTATGAGTATAGAGATTGTTTCCTTTAGAATTTGGTACTACTGATTTCATTATTTACTACGTGCTAACCTATTTAACATAAAAGTTTACCAGTTCAAATGTTATTGGAATAAAGATATTTTTCATACTCTGAATGAAGTATTATAGAATAATGTAATACATTATTTAAGATAAAATTTAATTTTATTACTTCAAATATACTTAACATGTCAAAATAAAATCTGCCTTTTCGAGATGTTCAATTACCTCTTTTATAATATTCTATCATGTGGTCGTATTTTTTTACAGATAAGTGATAAATTTGATGTATACAAATTAACGTAGAAGTTAAATTTGATTTATATGAATAAATCTGGTTTATTTTCAAGTGCTATAAGTATAGAATAATTAGTATTTCTTGTTAAATAACAATTTAGATGGTTGTTTATAATTATTGGAAGATCAATCAAAATTATTGTATGCTTTAACTTAATAAAACAGCTTAATAGACTCATTTTGCATTGAATTAACCATCACATTCTGTAGATTAGTCAGAAATTGTTTATAACTTTTATTAAAAGTTAGAAGTAATATTTTTTTCGTATGAATTACAGATGGACCTTCCAGGACCCCATAATATACAAGGAAAAGACTTAAACATCAGGAGAAATGAAGAAATGTAATTATTTATCAAAAAGTCAATGATTTATCGTAAGATAACTGTACAAAATATATTTTATTTTACTTAATGTATTTTAATTTAATTCTTTACACACCACGTCCACTTTCTTTTGCAAAAAACTCATTGTTTAAACAATATTCCATTGCAAAATAAAATAAGCTAAGTCGGGAAACCGCTAGGAACGTCTAAAAATTGAACAAAAATCTCGAAATTCCCACGGAAATAGCGTCGGGAATATAATAGACTTTATTTTACTATCTATATCATTAGTAATGTTAAAACAATTAAAAATTTATTATAAGTATCAAATTTAAACTGCTTACTACATACAATTATGCTCTAATTTACAATAACTATTATTAAAAGCGAAAAATTTAAACAATTTGTATTATAAAAATCATCTAACCTGATAATAATACTTCATATTTGACGATTCTATGGATTATATATGAGTAAAACAAGGAAAGAAATAGGGATAGACAACGATAGCACTTGAGAAACGAGTTAGACAAGAAAAGAAATAGAAGTAGACAAGGATAGCATTAGCGAAACAAGTTAGACAAGGAAAGGTATACGGGTAAACAAGGATAGCAATAGTATCATGTGTTAGACAAGGAAAGATGTAGGGGTAGACAAGGATAGAAATAGTATCACGTGTTAGACAAGGTAGCACTTGAGAAACGAGTTAGACAAGAAAAGAAATAGAAGTAGACAAGGATAGCATTAGAGAAACAAGTTAGACAAGGAAAGGTATACGGGTAAACAAGGATAGCAATAGTATCACGTGTTAGACAAGGAAAGATGTAGAGGTAGACAAGGATAGAAATAGTATCACGTGTTAGACAAGGAAAGATGTAGGGGTAGACAAGGATAGCAATAGTATCACGTGTTAGACAAGGATAGATATAGGGGTAGACAAGGATAGCATTAGAGAAACAAGTTAGACAAGGAAAGGTATACGCATAAACAAGGATAGCAATAGTATCACGTGTTAGACAAGGAAAGATATAGGGATAGACAAGGATAGAAAATTTTTCAGATCCAGAGTAACGCCATCTCGTGTTTGGATCCACGAAACGAC